GAGGAGCTGGCCATGAAGTTCCTTTATTTCAGCCAAACCGAGCTTACACCCTTTTCAACTCCTTTTTGGCAGGAAAGGAACTACCAAAACATTGACATCTAATGTAACACGTTAATTCACGTGAAATTAATGCAGCATTCATTAATATATCTTAATTTCTTGCTTGCACAGGTCTCATTTTCAATTACATAATATCTACTAACAAGATGTACACTAAAAATGAATTGGAATGAATTTTCAAAAAGAAAAATAGTCAAATACAAAAACGACTTTACTAAAGAGTAACTTTGTGAGGAAAAGGGATAAGAAGAAAGAAAATTCATCATTAAAGTTCTTCTTTTTCAAAATGTATCCTTATTCATCCTGAATTGACAAAGACTATTGGCAACTTGGTGTAACTCGTGTATTTTAGGAAAGCAAACATTGTGCTGATGGTCTAGCAAAAATGGTCTGCACTCATAGAGAATGGCCTTGGAGTCAGTCTCTGGGAGTTCCCCATTGTTATTACTTGATGTTCACCACCATAGCTAGTGACCCTACATCTATAACTATATTTAAGAAAATATGAGATGTTGGTGTAGACACTTTTTTGTTCTATTTATCTTTAAATCTTCTTTCATAAATTCCTATTAGTTTTATCTGTGTTACTACCACTCACATATAGCATGATGCTGTCAAACATTGTAACATAAAACGAATCATAATGAAGTTATATGACATGCCTCATCTAATGTAAAACATATGTACATATATACACACATAAGATGACGCACATTAAATTTGAATGGAAAAATTAGAGGGAATCTTCCCATAAAAGCACAAAAGAGTTTCTATCACACTGAGGGAGAAAGAGAGAAAGCAATTAATCACCAGACCTTTACTCACACAAGCTCAGAATAACTATCAAACATTACTCTGCATTATACAGTAAAGAAAAATAACATTATAATGAATAAATCTAACTGAAAAAAAGAAAAACAAGAAAAGCTATAATTCTTATAGCAAGAATGCCAAATTCAGCAAGTTCTTCTGTACTCCACTGCTTCAAATTGGATCACCATTTTTGTAAAGATTTAGCATGTTTCTGAGAATCCCTGCCTAAAATGTATCGACAAAGCCAGAATTTACGGATATATATTAGATCAGGATCAGGCACAACGCAACAGATTAACAAGCGTACATAGCATGCCAACATACTGCCTCGATTATTTAAAGATTAATATGCATACTAACAACAAGAAGATTTTTGTTGTAAAATGGCATTAAATAGCTATATGATACAAAGTTTGTTTGAGCAACTTTCCTCGTAATCACTTCTAGGGGAGAAAAATAAAAAGAAAAAATAGAATGAATTCTCAGTAAACTAAAATTAGCTTATGCTAAAGCTCATTTGTAGAAGCTCTCTTATAGATTCTCTCAATTCTTATTTTTAACTGTGCGTAAATTAATTTTGGTTTTTGGATTAGTTTCATCTTTTCTTTTTATTTTTCCCCTATAAACATTTATAGAAAAAGTTTGTCTAAACATATCCATATGTTATTAAGTTCTAAACTCATTAACAGTTAAAAACATGCAGCTTATGCACATATCTACTACCTTCTAAAGTAAATGTTACTGTGTCATTTATCCTGTCAAAGTTAACCTAGCATACTGTCCATATGCCTCATGATCATGCACAATTCAATGTGTCCAAAACATTGCCCAAATATAAGAGTGATACTTTGCATTTGGGGTGCACAGTGATAATATCATAAACTATGCAACTCAGAAGGCAAGAACAACTTCAATTTCAAATCAGCATAGAAAAATGAGGTTGATCATGAAACAGGAAATAGAAATATGCAAGCTAATATATGCTGAGGTTCCAGATCAAGAATCTATATTTGATTGTCAGGTTAGCAGAGAACATGAAGACAGACAATATGATCTATCAACTCAAGTGAAATTCACAAAATATAAAAATAAATTTCAGTCAATTAATGGTCTATTTATCTTTCTATATGAAAGATTGTTATACAAATTTCAAGACAAACTAAAGTCAGTTTTCTCAAAGCCAAAAATTGTTTTCCATAATTCGTGCGAGTTCACAAACAGACACAAAGGCACAGAGGTGCACAATTAAGTTCAGCATTTCATTTCAGCTTCAGCATAAGGTACTCATAATAAAGAAACTGAAAACATATTGCACATCATTCTTACAAGTGTGACAAAAGTATGAAGTTCTCAGTTGCTTGGATGCATACATATACAGGCAAACAATCTATTGCGAGTTGGTACTTTACCAATTCGATATAAAAATCAACTTGATAGGTACATAGAATAACAATGTGTCTTTTTTGCCAACCTTCAGTGCAACACATGCCTTTGTTTATGCTTCTGTGATTGATGCTCTTACATTGTTACTTAGCTTTGAACCAGAACAAAACAAAAGCGCATAAATTTGTTCATCAAAAGCATAAATAGAATCACAGTTTTGTCTAGTATTTAACTTTTAGAAATCAAATTGCAACTATATTGATGAAGAAAATAGTAAATAATAAGTTAAAAGTCGCCCACCGTGGGGCTCGAACCCACGACCACAAGGTTAAGAGCCTTGCGCTCTACCAACTGAGCTAGACGGGCTTTTGGTTAGACTTTGTTAATAATAGTTTTACCTGTTATATAAGGAAAAGGTACATTCTTCCCATCTGAAATGTAATCATGTAAACCAAGAAAACAGATACAAAAACCTCCCTTCAGTTTCCAATTCCATTAAACATGATAAAGTAAAAAAAGTTTCCAACTTTATTGACCTTAGAAGCAACCAGAAGGAAAATGAATGAAGGAGGAGACTTACATATAGAAATTGATAGAGGGCAAAGCTTTTTCCATAGTGTTAGAGACACTGTTGATGCCATTGGAATTGGCTTCTAGGTGGAGTGAAGAAAAAGTGTAAAGTACGGGTTTTGATTAAGGAGGTGATGAGTTTTGGAGGGTGGAAAGGTTCTGCTACATAATGGATACATACATACATACATTGGTTGTATGAATGTATGTATTTATTGGACAGTGAGACTGAAAATGTTCTTCTGTTTATGATTACTAGTAAATTGGACCAATCGTAAAGTAACAAACAAGTAATCCTTCGAATTGGTTTCAGTGTCTCATGCCATGTGTCTCACTTATCACTGTCAAATTTACACCTCATGAGATTGGTGACTCTTCCTTTTTTTTTTTCTATTATTATTTTTTCTCTCCATCTAATGATTTAAAAGAAGGTGAATAAATGTTTTTTTCAATTTCAACTTCAGTTTTACGTTGCAGATGAAAATAGAAGATATTTAAATAATTTAAACATAACTACATAGATCATGAATTTGTATTTAATGTCATTGTACATGAAATGAAACATAGTTTTTTACTAGTTTAATTGATTTTATTAATTTTAACTATTTTTTAAAATAATTTTGATGGTTTATTTGAATCGTTTATGAATTTTTTAGTTTGGCAGAAAAGTTTGGTACTTTCTCTCACACGCACACAGTGTGGCGCAGAGAGAGGGAGAGAAAAGTGAGATGTGAAATATGAAATATTGACCGACAAAAACGTTAACAAGTGCAAAAAACCAAACTCCAACGTCAACAGGCACCGGCAGCTTTATTTTACCCTAACTTCTGTTCACTGCTCAATTTCAGAATCTTTGTTTTTGGATATTTCTCTGCAAAACGTGTCTTGGTTTTCAATTTCTTACCATGGTTCTGTGGATGCTGGATAGTGGGTGGGTTCACTTTTGTACCACCGATACTACTACCCCCATCACCACGCACATTAACCACATTGCCCTCATTGCAAGTGTTTCACCGCACAAGCACTTTAAGTAGAAATTAATGGATGAGTGAATATAGATTAATAAGTGTGTGGAAAATGACTAAGAAATGGGATCTGAAAATTTATAGCATGAGAAATAGAGGAAAAGAAAGAAATGAAGGGGCAATGGTGATGGAGCTTTCAATGAAGGGAATTAGTGGCTATTAGGTAGGTAGGTAGGTTGGTGTCACTCACAAAAGTCCTGAAAGTAGGTGCTGGTGGGATCTTTCTAATTCCATTCATGAAGATGGAGGAAACATTAAATATAAAGAGGGGGAGAGTGTAGAAGACAAAGTACCCAATCCACCCTTCTCTCAGATGCTAATGTGCTAATGCTATAGAGAGAGAGAGAGAGTGAGAGTGAGGCACTAATATAATCTATTGTGGTGTGGGATTTTTGTTGTTTACTTTACCCGGTTCATGATGAAAAAACAAACCATGTTGGTTTTCTCTTTTCTCCACCCAGGACAGGGGTGAAAAGCAGAAAAAGAAGCATGGAAATGAATGAGAAGGGTAGAGAGGTAAATGCAGAGCAATTGACCCTTGTGAGGGATATAAAAAGAAAAATCTGTATGATTCGTAAACGCCACCTTGGCAGCATGAGGAGGGAGAGTTTGACAAGGGCAACAAAAACCAAAGTACTCAAATCCAAAACCAAAGCCTAAGAAAAAGGTTGCAACCAACAACTGCTACAGCGTAGCAGAGAAACAGCATCATCCCATCATCTCATTTATCTATCTATCTATCTATCCTTTGCCTTTTTTCCAGCCCCTAATCTATGTATCTATCTATCTTCAATACCCCTCTTTCTCTCTCTGACCCATTCACGTTAACATTCACCCTCATTCTCTCTCTACACAGACACAACAACAAATGACACACACAAGGAAAGAAGAAACATGGAAACTCCACGCATCCATCATACCATCAAAACCAAAGACTCTACACCACACCACATCTCACCACCCAACCCAAACCCTCTCTCTTTCTCTCTCATCAATGGCCCAGCTGGACCAAAATTTATGTAGAAGAAAGAAAAACAAAAAAGAAAGAATGGGAAACAAAAGAAAGAGAAGTTAGATGTGTTCAAATGTCCTCCAACCAAACCCACCTTACATCTCTCTATATTTCCCTCTTTCTCTCTCATAACAACTATGTTCCCCGAAATGCCCTTCTGCAAGCCCCCAAAAAATCCCATCTTCATCACTGGTCTTTCAAAAGAACAATATTTTTCACCGAGTTATGTGGGCTTTTTGGGTTTCTTTGTCTCGGTCAGAGTTTCTCACAGAGAAAACAGGAAAGCGAGAACCTTCTTACCCCTTCACCTCTTCTCTCTTTCTTGGGCCTCTCTTTTCCTATTTCTTTCTCTCACGTTTTGTTCCATCACCCCTCACCTCACCCACCTTCTTCCTTCTCTCTTTCTGCCTTTTCCCCTTTAGTTTTGGTTTGTTCTTGCCTTGTGGCTTGTCCTGTTTCTCTCTGATCTCATGAAGAAGATGAAAGGTGCTGTCTCCATGGAGCCTCCTTATGAGGTGTATCAGGATCAGAGGACTAGGTTGAGGCACCAGAGTCTCTTGCAGGATTATGAAGACCTGTACAAGGTAACGCCTTTGCCTTGCCCTCTTCTTTAATTTCCTCGATTGAAAGTTTTTGTTGTGGGCTTCTCTGGATCTGGTTTTTGCCTTTATGTATTTGGGGCTTTCGGTTGATTTGGGACTGTGATGGTTCTTTGCTCTTAAAATTGAGGAATTTTTTGGGGGGAATCAATAAAGGGATCGTGTGTTTTGTTTGATATGTATGTTTGATAATTTGTTTCGTCTAACGGGTTTGTGATGGTTGATTCTTGTGGGAATTGAGGTTTATTTGGGGGGAAACAATGAAAGGATCTTGTGTTTCGATTGATATGCTTGTTTGATAATTTGTTTGGATTTGATCTGTGTTCATGTTCCGATCTGATGGAAGATGTTTTTTTACATTCATCTTTGTGTTATTTGTTCTCATTTCTCTGTGTGTGTCTAATTTCTTTGTTTATTTATCCACACACATCAATTTTTTGGACTCCAACCAAATTTTTTATTCTTTTGTGCCAAATTCTTTAGTAATTAATAACACAAAGCACAGTCACTTAGCGGTGTGTTCTAGTGATGAGTTCTCTTTTTTCTTTTTTCTTTTTTTTTTTAATAAAGCTCTTCTCGGACCCTTTCCTCTGCACAGTTTTCATTTTCAGCCTCTTGGTTTTTTATGCTAATTACTTCCTAGTTTTATTCTTTCTTTTGGATTTTGGATTTGTATATCATATTTTTCATAGGTTGTTTGAACTCATTATACCATGAACAACTGATTAAAACTTAATTGTTAACCAGTCTTCTCTTTTCTGACTCCTAACTTTGTACATGACATTCCCTTGGTCTTTTATGCTAATTAGCTTTATATTGTTTCATGTCATATTTAATTTCAGCAGGGCTTTTGAATTTATCAAATCCTGAACTCAATAATTAAATAATACTTGATTCCTAATCAGCCTTATTTTCATGGTGGCTCACTTTCCCTAAGTTTTGTCAAAATAATTTCGTTTATTTGTCTATTTTCCTTATCAAGTCTTTGCTTCAAAACATAAACCTTTGAAAAACTGTTCTCATCAAATTTCAATTTTCTAACATGCTCAGGAAACAGAAACCATGAGAAGGAAGTTGCAGGCTACTGAGCAAAAAAAGTTGATACTGGAAGATGAAGTTAGGTAATGGTTCATGCCTCAAAGTAGAAGATGGATTTTCATAGTTTGGAGTTTTTGTTGTCCATAGTGCTTATCCTCACCACTTTCACTCTTATAACTGCAGATTTTTGAGGCATCGATTCAAATACTTGCTAAAACATCCTATTCTAAAGCCTCAACCAAAGAAAGAAGTTGTAAAGCCACAGAAGCTCAAAATTCAAGCTCCCATCATCTCCAAGGGTAAGAATTACAGTAGAAAGGATCCTACTTCGCGATCCTACTCTGCATCTAATTTGAACCCAAATGGAAGGATTTCCAATGTGGTGGAAGTCCCATTGCAAAAAACTAGCCATCTGTTTGATCTAAACCAGAATGCCAGAAATTCTAGTTCTAGTAAAAAAGATGTCACTATTCACGGTTCTGCTTCACCGGCACTTGACTTGAATCATAAAGAATGGATTCACAGCAGCAAGGAAGCCACAAAGAAGAGCGTAACTCCATTTTTTGACTTGAACCAGATTTCGGTAATTAATTGCACATACTGTTTACATCATGAGTCCTTCTTTATAAGTGGTTCAAGTATATGCTCATAGTTTTCTTCTGTTTTGGTTGATGTCATGCAGAGAGAAGAGGAAGAGTTGCAAGGCAACAGTGAGACCATGAGGATTGAAGAACCAAAGAGAATTACACAAAGAGTTGCAAGTGATGAGCAGCACAACGACATCAAGCTCTCGGCTTGTAGAAGTGTTGGTGACGGATCAAATAGGGCAGGGAAGAGGAAGATTTCATGGCAAGACCAGGTTGCATTGAGGGTTTGATCTATAAAAGTACAGTAGGCTGAATTCTTACCCTCTTGGAATGTCTAGTCTTGCCTTGATATGCTACAGATTTTTAACCTTCTAGTTTTTATATTTTCCTTTGTAAAGATAAAATATACATTATAGAATCATATGTTCAAAATATATATATATATATTAGATGAAATGGAGAATTATGTTCTCCTAGTTCATCATATCTTTGTTCTCCACATTAGTTTGTTGAGTTGTTTGATTTATCTTTTTTCATGAAAAAAGTTCATCAAAATTGGATTCAAGTCCCTGGTGAGTTGTTGGTCTTGGTTTCTTGTGCTTTGAGCCTGGATTTACTATGGCTATCCTTCGGTTCACTTGGCTGATATGTTCTGTTCATATTCGGATTAGTATTTAAATTATGTACATGAGATTCTTGGTTGTGTTCTCTACCTACCATCTATTTTACCAGAATTTAGGCCAAGATGTTGGGACTTTTGAGTGCCAAAACAAAGTGGTTGTTGAATGTCTACACTTTGGAAGTGGTCAAGTAGTCTTGAAATACGTGAGTTGTGGTACTGGGCACATGGTTTTAAGTCAATAAATTTTTGCATTTGAATCTTTGTTTTCTGGTTTTGATCGGATATTAACACCAGCAAAAATACCAAGCAGAAATTTACTGTCATTAAATTTTATCTTTATTTTTTATTTAAAAGTAAGTTTTAGACTGAAAGAAAAAAACTACACCAGATAAGAAAACATTTGTCATGTTTTTAATTTTTGTATTCATTTTCTTATAATGGGTGTTTAGTGTTTTCTATTCAATATTTACTGTGAATTTATCAGTCGTAACGTTGGCGTTGAAAGAAAAATAGATATGCCGTCCAGTTATGTTTGGGTGTGACCTGAAGGAATCAAAAGTATTTTTTCCTATCAAAGTAATCATTTTCATTTTGAGATTGAACATTAAAATTACCACAAATATGTTTTTGTAAAGTTAGAACCCTAAAACAGTATGTGCAATGTTAAAAAAAATATAATAATAATAATAATAATAATAATAATAATAATAAAGGAATTGGACTATAGAGAGGGATAGTTAATGCATGGTATGGTTTGATCCATTTTTGAAATAAATAAGTTTTAAAAATTGAAAGTTAATAGACTAATTCTAACCACAAACCGGTGGAAAACTTTTCGGTGGGTCTTTTGGTCATAACCCACGCAAAAATGGTTTGTGCCTCCTTCATACATTTACTTTAATCATTTTAAAATAAGAATAAATTTTTTTATATGTAAAGATAAACACGTACTAATATATAAGGAAGCATGCGCAGAGAGAATTGAAACAACACCATTTTTAACATTGCTTTTGAACCCACCACATGCATACATAGAGGAGCTCGTTGTAAATTTGTAAACATTGTCTCACTTGTATTTAGATGTGACCTCAAATTTACAAAAATGAAATTTAACATTACATAAATTCACTCCAACTTATTTGTCTTTCCTATTAAAATAAACTTAATTCAATTAAATAACTTAATAAATAAATTTATTTATATAAAAAAATTTAGCATTGAATTAAACTTATTTTAACTAATTTTAAAAAAAATCTATGTAAATTTCTTAATTTATAAACTTATATTCGAGTCTATTTTATAGAAAAATAATTATTTTTAAATAAAAATAAAAATAATATTATTTTATTAAAAATATATTTATATTATAAATTAATGTGATAAATGATTTATTTATTCTAAAAAATAAATATAAAAATAAAATTTTAATATTTAATAAATTTATATCTAATAGTTAAAATAAATTATTATTTTATATTAATAAATTACAAAAATATAAATGATAAATAATAATAAAAAGTAAATTTTAATTCTTATTTTGACATTGAAAAAAAATTATTTTCTTATAATTTATAAATTAAATTATTATATCTCAAATAAAAATTAGTTTTATTAATATAATTTAAATATATATATATATATATATATATTTTTAAATAATTATTTTGATATAGATACCTTAATATTTTTTTAAAAATTTAACCAGATCAAAATTATTTTTTTATTTATTAACTTAATATAAAATTAGATAAAACTAAAATTTATCACCCATTCTAAAATATAGATTATATTCAATTATTATTATTATTATTTTTACCTCTCTTGATAACTGGATTGGGCCAAGGCAGAACACCGATGAAGTCAGGTCCTTATTTAAATTTTTTTAGTTCTATTCTTATTTTTATCATCATTAGTTCGGTATATTTCATTTTAAATTTCTTATAATATTTAAATAGAAAACAATTTGGTGGCATAATTGAACAATTTGAGATGTAAATACAATAAATAACCTTAAAAATATATAATTAACTAAAATATATTCATGTTATATAAGGTAATAATTTACCTGTAACGAATATAAAATTTATGAAGTTTGGTCCAATTAATTTCCCATTCACACTGCTTGAAAGTATACAAGCAGCAGCTTTTGTTTTTATCATTATGTTATAGGTTTTTTTTTTGGATCTAATAATTTTTTTAACATAAATACAAATTTTTTTAATGAAAAATTTATTTACTAAATTAGAACGTAATATTATTTCAAATTTAAATCTATCTATATTAAAATAATACTTTTTATAATACAAAAAGTTTCAACATTAAACAATCTAATATTGAAAAATAACGATAAAATAATACTTCACTTATATACAATATTTATTTATTTTTAACCTAAATTACATTTTCATTGTTTGTTTACTTATTTTTCGGGATGAGGTTGGAAAACTTATCTTTCCTCTCTATTTCTCCCATGCAAACAAAAATGACAGAAAACACTAAAAATGATTAAATTAAACCCAATAAAACAAATATTCATGAATCTAAACAATAGAAGACGTAACATGTTGTCACCCAGATTTTTCTGCAGCACCATTATTTGAGTTAAACTTCTTCATAGTAGCCAGGTGCTTTTTTCCATTTTTATGACTTTGCATGACAGTTTCTGAGAATGTTTGAACTTCACAAAATGCACAATAAAATTTAAACTTCTTCCTTGTTGCCAGTGCATTTGTTTCCTGAACTTCTTTCTCAGTAGTTGTTTCCTTTTCATTGTCTATGCCACCTAGATCCTGACTTTTCTGTACAGCTGGTTGTTCCTCTTTTCTGAGTTCCAGCGTGCCTTTGTCTCCGGGACTTATGCCAGATTTAAATGTTTCACTGTCTTGTCTTGCATCCAGCCCTGAAGAAGTCATGGTAACAACAACTTTAGTAGGTTTCACGCAATGGTTACTTTTTAATGATAATCTTTTATCTCATGCCCTTACCCATTTTTCGACATTTCACATTGTGCTTTTTTCCTTGAAGATGATCATTCAATCCTTTTTCACTCGTTGCACAAACTTGACATAATGCACAACTCCACTCTTTTTTGGGTTTCTTTTGCAAACTAGATCCCAAAAGTTGGTTATCAATCGGAAAAGATGTGACCGCTTTGCGCTTAGCACCATCAAAATCAACATTTAGCACCTCCTTGCGCTTCCCATCACCAAGATCAACATCTACCACCTCTGTGCATTTCGCAGCACAGAGTGCAGCAATATTTGGCTTAGCCTGCAACGGGATAAACATCGTAACATTTTATAACTACCCAAATAATAGCTTAAGCATTCGTTATAAATTTACTCCATCTACCCAATTAACCGTAAATTACAGTAATGCAAGTATACTACAAGGAAAATATATTGATTATGGTTGTGCTTCTTTGATCGTGATAGAATGCAAAAGCCAATGAGCACCAGAAAAACGAAAAGGTGAATCAGGTGTTTACGGATCGGAATACACCCGGGCTTCTTTACAAAACAGATATGGTTGTTACTGTTTTCACCAGTGTTTTTAATTCTGAAAACAAGGAAAGATGCAAACTATCAAAGAAGAAAATATATTCTCTAAATAAATTAACCAAATAAGCTTTTTTCCTACTTTCTCATCTCCAAAACTGTTCATTTTACAGAATAATTTAAAGAAAATTATAAAACACAATCAAACAAGTCCCTGCACTTCGCTTCTTTGAGATATGTTCAAATTACGTTACTCTCCCCACTCCAAGAGATTACTGTATCACATATGAATTACTAGCCTCTGTGCTTGAAACAAAATTCTCTCTGAAGATTTTGGGTGAGCTCCCAATTTCAACCCTCCAATTTTCATCCAACAGTCACGAAAGTGATAAATCGGTAAATGCAGTGAAACTGAATCCATCTACGCATTATACAATGGAGGACCAGAAATCCCAGTTGTTAACTTCTCGCCCATTTATACAGGCCGTCAAATGATAATAGTTAGATGAAGATAGGACGACTCAAATTTTGGATAATTATTTAAATCTGAATTATCAAAATATAATATGATTTCTTTGATGTCAAAGGGTCCCAGAATAGATGTTGTAGACGTCACTAAATTAACAAAAAACAAGTGACTACCTTTTTACTAACTAGACATCAATTTCTTCTCTAAAATACCACCTTTTTCAAATTAATCTCTAAAGTATTATTTAAGTATTGAAAAATGTTCAAATTAGTTACCAAACGAAATCAAATATATCAAACTTCGAAAACAAAAATCAATACTATCGACACTACTTGTATAATTTCAAATACATAAAGTTTCTATTCAAGAGTTGTTTGATTTAGACATGAAAAGAGAAAAAGATGAGTGTATGAAAAAATAGAGGATGGACACGGTTTGATAGATAAGTGTGAAAAGAAAAAAAGGATAGAATGAGAAGAGGGAGAGAGAAATTTTTACTCTTAGATTCAACCTAATAGTTTGTGTTTTTATAATTTCTCACCTTTGTTATTATTATAATAGTTAAAAAATCATAATTTTTTTCGTTGCTTCTTACAAAAATCGAATTTTTGTTCGCTCAGAAAAACTCTTTCATCTTCTCCTCTTTTTCTTTATTTATTTCCTCTGTGCTATGTGAAGATCCTAGTGATGATTTGCTATTTTTCTAATCCGAAAATGAAAACAGATAAGCTTTTCACAATCCAAACAACACTCTAGAATGCAGGAAAAAAATAAACAAAAGATAAAGACAGGGAAGAAGGGTAAATAAAAGAGGAGACAAAACACTAACCAATTTGATTACTTTATCCTCCTTAGTCTGAGTTTGATTTGGCGTTTGTGTTTGGTTCTGTGTCTGCTTATAAAGTTGTGTTATATCAACTTCGGGGGAGAACTGGGGTTGTGGTCCACCAGATAGGTTGCTGTTTTCGACAGGGCTATTCAGTCTCATTCTTGGATTCATAGACAATGAAACTCCTTCGCGAAACGTCGTTCCTTCAAACCTATGCATTGGCATTCTCAGCGCTCTCTCCGCCGCCAGTTCCCTCCGGACCTCCTCTTCCAGTTCTCGTCGCCGTGCCATCTCATTGGCCAGAATCTCTCTCCTTATTTCCTCCTTCTCCACCTCACGCCGTATCTGCTCCCTCTCCATCTCTCGCCGCAATGCTTCCTCGGCGTTCATCGGCACCGCTGCTGGGAACACTCTCGGCGCCGAAATCATTCCCGGAAAACCACCTGAAGCAGAGTGGAGAATAAAACGAACCCATGCGAGAAATAAAACACTTTTCAAACGGTGAGTCGAATGGGTAGCGTAAAAAGAACGTGAGATTAGAGAAAGCAAACGTTACCTCGTAATGGGTGATGGGAGAAGTAAGGGACAGTTGAGAGAGGGCGCGGCGGCGGTGGTGGCGGTGGTGGTGACTGTGTGGTAGTGCGTTGGTTTTCGCCATCACGATATTTGAATTCCATGGAAACAATGAAAAAGCAGAGAGAGGAAAGAAGACGTGCAGAGAAAATCAGAGAGGCAGTGAATGCGTGTACAGTGTTGATTTTCAAAGAGTGGTTAAATAGATGGAAGGGACTAAGGTGTTTACACGCGCTTTCGAGGCGCGTTTGGAGGACCCTGATGTTGCCAATTCTATCTGAGAGTGGGTGATTTGGGGTGCCATGTTGATAAATTTCATTCTGTTTTTTCTCTGTCATGATCAAATCTTGAGAATTCATAAAAATAGGATTTTTCTTCCAATTTTGAATGGGATCAAGTAAAATTGTGAGTTCTGTTTATCTTCTTTTCTCACCTAGATTTTTGTTGGGATTTCTCTCCCTCTACAAACAAATTTCACTACATAGAAAATGTTTTATATTTGCAATTTATAATGTAAAATATTTTATTATAAAATATTAATTGATTAACACTTTTTAATATTTAGCATTTATTTTTAATTTTTTTACTTATTAATTATTATATAATTGATTCTTTTAATTGGTTTTAGCTATTTTATCTTTACTCAATCAAAGATATTTAAAACATATGTATTAATATAAGACTAAACATGAAATGTAAAATCTCTAATATTAAATGAGGACATTTTTTGAATTTTTTTTCATACATGCCATTCAAATGTATGCGTTTCAAATTTAAAATTGTGAACAAATGTAGACATTAGTTGGAAATATTTAAGTTAATTAAATATAAATCATAATATTGGAAAAAGAAAAATATATACATAATTTGTCTAATTGGATTTGAGTTTTGAAAATAACTAATATGATAAATTGGTCAAAATACTCTCAACATGTGGGAAGGTTAAAAAAAAACTATTTTTTTTTATAACGGTAAAAACTGGTGAAGAAAAATATACAACTATTATATATATATATATATATATATATGTATATTATTTATTTTATTTATGTAATTAGAAAAGTTTACCATGATAAAAACAATTTAACTGTGATATTATGTCATATTTTAAATTTATAAACCTTCTTTATATATCATTATACATTATAATTGCTTAAAAATTTAAACTTAAATATAGAGTAGTTAAAACTTTAAAGTAATAATAAATTACAATATAAATAATAATTGGTTTTTATAAATATAAACTTTATTATCTTGTATTTAATACCATCAGTCCATAATAATAATAAAATATTATAATAGTTTCAGAATTATTGAGGAATATTTCTAAATTAGTTGCATTTGCTACCAAATATTCTTTAAAAATGTTTTGTGCACAATTGTCATAATTTGTTACTTATTACTTATTTATTTATTTATTATTATTATTTCTATAATTAATTATTAATGACACCCCACTGTTATAGTAGTATCATAATCATAATAATATATTGTTACTATTATTATTAATGAAAAACATAAACAATATTTTTAAAATAATTAAATAATAAAAGTGGAAATTTAAAATTTGTATGTTAATATTTAAATAAAAAATATAATTTAAAATATAGCAATAAATTATGGTTTTAGTTTATGTTTTAAAAAAGTTAAAAATTAAATGTTAAAATATTAATTATAATATATAACTTATTTTATAACTAAAATTATACAAGTAAATAAATTTAAATTGAACAAAAATATTCTAATTTGAAATGTGTTATAATTTTACATTGAATAAAAATATAATAAAGTTATAATAGATATATGTATTTGATGATTTTCTATTAGACACTTTTATTTTTATTTTTTTAATATGATATCAAAAGTTGAAAATAAAATTTATTTAAATATATTATTAATTGTTTTAATAAAAATTAAATGGTATTGTAAGTTGTTTTAAAAGATGTATTAGGTACTCATTAACTTAAAAAATAAAAAACAAGTGGTTTTCTCCTAATTTTAAGAAAATAAAAAAATATTTTTAAACAACCCACGTAGATTCATAATAAAATAATATACCTTATTTTTAAATAATTTTATTTTAAAATATTTAATGAATAAAGGAATATGAGTAGGTAAAATAACTTATTAAAGTTTTTTAAGAAAATTTTTATTGAAACAATAAAGGTTTTTAATAAAAATTTTATTATAGTGACACTTCTTATGATTCAATATTCATGTAACAAGATATTATATACTTCTTATGATACATTATCTTTAGAATATAAATCTTATATACAAGATCTACATCGAAGATCCAGTAATAAAGTTGTTATTAATACGATGATGTAACTTAATAAATATATTTTATATTTTATAAAAATTGGTGTAGATTTGAGAATGAAGTTTTAGGATTTATAAGTCAGATCATGAATGAGTAGTTGTATTCAATCTCAAAAAAATTTAATTATTTAAATTTTTTTATCTTTTTAAAATATAATAGTCACGTAATTATTATGAATATAACTAAACTTTACTCTTTGATATTTACATAATATTATTTTTTTCCTCGTTTTTGAGTAAATCCAAAGATAACTTAATTGATCAATTATTTATATTTTCTTTGTTAGTTTTCTTTTCATTTGTTTCAATATTATCTATTCATAATTCTTTTGATGATGTAACATAATATAACATTAAGTGGTAAAAAGTTGATATAATTATACTTTGAATTGTTATGAAATTATTTAACTTATGTTAATTTTAATCTATTTTTCTCTCAATATAGGATGAATTTGAGAATTCCTTAATACAAGAGCAAAGATCATAGTTGTGAAGTAATTGAAAAAAAAAATTGAAAGAAAAAATAACGCTTAAACGAATGAATGATGCGAAGTCCGACCCAAATTCTCTTATAAAAAGATAAGATGTGTTTTAAGAAAGGAAGCAGTTTTGGAAAAGAAGAAGTGACTACTACTAGGGTTTCGTTCAATCTTCATCAATTCTTTACTTCTTCCACATTTGGAGCATTGTAATGGTCAACATGAGTGATTAACTTCATTATCTTAGGATTTGATGTACTTCCTTTAAACTCTTTTGTATCATGGTGATATTTTGAGATATTAATCTATGTTTTGATGTTGTTATTTTTATCTTTTGTGCTTTGGAATGATTTATTCTTGATGTTTGGGGTATGATTGGAAAATATATCTTGAACCCTAGATCACGGTAAGAATATTTGTTACGTTAATTGTCATGAATGGAATTAATGTATCAATTGCTTAACACCCTAAACATAATGCTGAAAAATCTCTTAATTGTGTGAGGAATCAACATTTATTAGGTTTTCTTATGAATTTCATGTATGAGGAATCAACATGGATGACTTGAGTAGGTGGCATCAACATTGTTAAGTTAATTGACGTTCTTAATTGACATAGTCATTACAAAAGAGAGATAAAGAAAGAAGTCAATCCTAAGTACCTTTAATTGATATTTTATCAACAATTTACAGTTCTTTGTCATTTAATTTCAATTCAACTCTTTACGCAAAACCCATTCTGTTTTAATCTACTTTAGTAAGCATATAATTGGGAATTTTCATTGAAACCGTTCCTCGTGGGATCGACTTTTATTTAATTGAAATATTATACTGCCATTGATAATTTTGGTACACTTACCAATAATTCAACAAGTATTTTTGGTGGTGTTGCTTGGGAACGGTGTTCTTTGAGAATTCTTTGTTTAGCTTATTGAATATTTTATTTTTATTTCTATTTTGTTTTATTTTTTAGTTTTAGTTTTACTTAATTATTGACTTGTGCTAATCTTTGTTTGAGTTACTCTTTGATTTATGCGTTTAAGAGGACATGTATCTTCAGAGTAATTAGAATTTAATCCGGAGATTGAAAAAATAGCTTGGAGGAACCGAGGTAGAAGAAGAAGGGAAACTCAAGAACAAGCCACAAGAGAATCTGTTAACTCTTCTTCCACACTCAATTTACCAGACCCAATTATAGAAGATATGGCAGAAGACGGAGCAAATCTAAATTCAAATTCAAATCAAAATCGAGATTCAAATCCACCTAGAAGAACACTCATAAACTATGTTATGCAGCAAGGGCCAAGACACTTTTCCAGCATTGTCATACCGGACGACCAGACATTGCAGATGAATCCAGCTTTCTTAAACTTGATTAGTGTTCATCAATTCACTGGACTAGATCATGAAAACTCTTATATTCATTTGTCTACTTTTTATGAGTTGATTGGTACCATGGGATTTAGAGCAACAAATCTTGAATCTGCATATTTGAGATTATTTCCTTTTTCTTTGGCAGGTAGGGCAAAGGAGTGGCTGAAAGCACATTATAATCAGAGTTTGACTAATTGAAGTAGCGTAAAAGATAAGTTTCTGAACAGATTTTTCCCACCATCCCACTACATCAAAGCGAAATCTCACATCACTTCTTTCAGACAAGGAACAGATGAACATTTTTGTGAAGCATGGGAGAAATTTAAATCACTGTTGAGATGCCCAAATCATAGATTTGATGACATTGCTCAGTTGAATATTTTCTATATTGACTTGCGACATGATGCAAATATGTTATTAGAGGCTGCACAAGAGGATCCATGTTGGATGTGGAAATTGATCATGCCACAAGAATTATTGATGTATTAGCTTTTACAGACCAACAGACCCAACATGATAGACATCCAGTTCAAAGAAAGGGAGTTCTTGAACTTAACACCTCAGATGTTATCTTAGCCCAGAATAAAATTTTGACTCAACAAATTGAAGCATTGAACCAGAAAATAGAGAAATTACCTCAACAAATGCACACATTACAATCCATTCTTAATCAATAGATAAGTTGTGATGTGTGTGGAAGTGATCATGCAAATGAACAATGCTCTTATCAAGACAACATTCAACAAGAAGAAGCTAATTATATGGGTGCTCAAGGTAGTAGTCAAGGCAGACAAGGTAATTTTCCTAATCTCAATAATTATTAGAATAATTTTGCATAAGGATGGAGAGTGAATCAAAATCAAAATCAAAATCAGAATCAGAATCAGAATTTTGGGTGGAACCAAGGTGTT